ATCGTAAATGTAGAAAACCGGAGGCCCGTTTTACTGGAAACGAAGCATTCCATCATAGTCCTCACGGGTGATAACGCAACTGCATGTTGATTCGTAATCGAAGATTTATATAGATATTTTTGGGCCACAGCAACCACTTACCGTCACGTGGACTGTGTGCTCGTTTGTAACCTTTATCCTAAAAAAATACTCTTTTTCGACATTATTTATGAATGGATTACATCTGTAATGTCTTCGCGACTGCTTCTTGGAACGCATTTAGCTGCTTTTTAATATGCATGTAAATTTAACCCTTTTAACCGATTGTTTAACTATTGTGTCTGTTTCGCGAACAGGGAAACTGTTAACGTAAGCGAGTAACGAGTAAAACTTATACATTTAAAAATTAATTGCCGAATACCAGAACGACAATATTAGCACTTAAAACACATTAGAACGTAAAACGACATCACAATACAGCCGATTACCGCACGCCGCCGGTCAGAAAGCGTTGTTCAACTAGAGGCGTGGCTCGTACGTATTAATGAGTGTTTCGTATTAACGTCCCAGTTGTTGTTTGTCATTAAATAAACAGCCTGAACAGGGTCGCAGACGTTTTGGCGAGGTGAGCGACCCTGTGGTATGAGCGCGATCATTCCGGTTAGCGGCTTACTTATCGCTACCTACGTCACACAGCTACTGCAACTGGACCGCGAACCGCGAAAACAATTTCGCATGCCCAACGCTAAGCTCTCCAAATTAGAATTCTCAAAATTATATTTATTTCAGAAATATTGATACTTATTTAGCTTATTATATATTTATATATTCCATCAAAAGAACACAACAAATAAAATGAGTGTAGGAAAGACTGAAATAAGTATGACAAAAATTTAACGGAAATTATTGTTAAATTATCGATTTTTTTAAACAAAAACCAATAAACATCTTCAACTATAGAAGCTAATTAATTTTTAACACAGCAATATATATTATGATTGAATACGGACATAAACACTTACTGCTTATATGGGATCACGTCACGTTGTTCCCATTCCGACGATACCTCACGCTGAGATCTAATCGGAATTGGTGAATCATTTGATATGACTCATTGAACAAATTCTTGATTAATAATAAATACTTATGTTTTTATATTTAAAAGTACTTATTTATATATATATCACCATGTGCTTGGCATTAAAGAACACACTAGCACGACTCATAATATTATAGCAGCGCTATAGTATTGCAATGGCATTAATTTCATTCCATTATTATATATAGGTAAAACCCTAACAGTTTCTTGTCGCTTCTTCTCTGTAGAAGTCTTGCTTGGAACCGGTGCGATGGAAGACTGACGCTCATGAGAGCATTAAATAAACAAATTAAACGTTTCTCAGTTTTAATTGAATTACTAGACTCAACTTTTCTTATTCTCATTCCAGCAAAATCAAAACTTTGCCGAGTTAGGTCGTGGACACGGCAGAGATGCAGTCGATAGATGCAGGTGGCTTAGGAACGTGCCTTGTGGCATTCCTTGGTGGGGGCCTATGTTATGTTGATGATGTTGAAGTGAGGTCGTAAGCAGCAAATATAATTTGCTCTTTTTTAACTTTTTCTGTGTAAGCCTACTGATCGCAACAAGGTTATCATAAAATTCCTATTGAATTACAACTGTATGTACAACGGTGACACTGGTGACACTACGGTTGTTTACAATTTACATTGCGCAGGTCTGTCGGCTGTTGAGTCTTGACCTACTCGTACTGACTCTTCCTATTTTTATATTAAAATTTACTTCTCGGGGAACGATACCTGTCTTCATTACATAATATTAAGACTTATAAGAAATTCTCGAGGTTATGAACAAGCTTCAGTGGGAGAGGCCGAATTTGTGGAAGGAAATACAAAAAAAAAATCGTATAGCTTTCTTTTAGCGGTATAAACATTCCAATTACGTGAGACATAAGAGGTCCATGTTCAACGGACAAGTTCAATGGACTTTTACATGCCCATATAGAAAAGCATAAAATAAGTCCAGGATGAAACGGCCGCATGAGTACCGAAAACTATTCCACCTCAATTTTTTTATGCGATTCTCTTCAAATTGTCCTACTGATGATATAAATGCATGCTGCTATCGGGCAACTCGATGCCATATTGTTTAAACCAGTTTGCGCCGGTTCCTCCTGGACTAAAATAAGAATGAACAAGAAATTACTTTCAATATATATTATTTGCCTAGATATTTGTAGTTCTAATATTTACATTATGACGTATTAGATTCAGCAATAATAAGTAAGGAAACAATAAAAAAAGTCTAGTGTAACTAGATACTTCATATAATTTTCTTTAAAATGAAAACTGTCTATAGTATTGTATTTAAGAACTCAATGTATGATCTTCAAAAGCATGTATTTCCCACGCAAAATTAAATTCGATAAATTTGCATATTTACGACATATAGAACACTTTTAGAGACCTCCGTTTAGAAATAACCGTAGTTGTAGTTTTTGCTTTCGATTTACGACATCTTAGATCTGCAGTGCAGTGACACGGTGATTTGTAAACAAGATAAGGACATTTCAGTCTTAAAATAATAAATAAGATACATCTATTTTTAAACACATTAATATGTACAGTATGTTTTCACAGAAACCCTGCTCTGAATAATAAAGTACTTCCTTGAAGATAACATGCTATAAGAATACAGGGTTGAAATGTAGATAAGTGCTATGTAAACCTAGGTTGATATTTCGACCGGCGGACCGCCAAATTACACATAACCGTGGCTTAGTAAAATACTAAAAACACAAGAGGATACGCTGCTTCCTCGTGCAACCATTACTTGGACCTCATAGCTACCCATAATTGTTGCACGGAAAGCACTGTTCAGTTAATTACACGCAAAATCACGTTTTAGTAAGTATATTATACATGTCTATTGAAAAGGCTGATACATTGACATCTCCAGATTTTTTTACATACTACGTCAGTGCTCGTCATGGTAACCCACGCCCCATGGTAAGTGAAAATGCGACTACAGATAGCTAACACTTGAAAAAAGTCATGTATCGAAAACTACTAACTACCAATGATGGTCTAAATAATGGGAATGCAAAAACAAACAACAAATTTTAAGAGTGGTTATACCGAAATACCTCGATACCGTCATCAGGCATCACCAATGTACATAAATTTGCTTCGATTGGATTTTTTGGTCCGGCGAGTTGTAAATGATGTCCAAAAAATCGTCTGTCAGAACCAGTCAGTGGGTCAGTGATGACTAATCAATCGATTTTTCGAAATAACAATATTACAAGAAATAGAAATATAACAAAAATATTCTCGGCTCGTCTAACGCAAATAAAATAAATGATGAGAATATTACGCTCATGATTCATAGAGACTGCTTCGATAGACGATACATCATACCACAAAAACACGCGGACGATTTTAATAATTGTATCAAACAAAAAGTGATTGATTCGTTAATAAGATACAACATACAACATAGACGTTAAAACAATATAGAGAGACGGAATGGAATATTTTTGTAGGAAATTGTATTTGGCAATTAAAAAAATAAACACGACCATTCCAAGGTCAAGTTTAAATTATGACTTACATGTAGGTAACTCAAAAAAAAAACATTATTTAAAATGCAACTACCTCTTATTGTAAAAATATAAATTACGTTGTAATCTTAAAATTTTCTTAGTTATCTTAAAATTACCTTTCTACATTTTTTATAACGTAATAAGAAAGGTAGATAACCACGATTATAAATTAATATAATAATTAAATAACACTATTAATGCTCATTATCAATTACATAACTTTTTCAATCGTAATTAGCTATAAAATATTTCAAAGCACGGATAAAACCAATATATCAACTTTTCAATAGACCAACATTAAATTTTCCATAACAAAGCTTCGAGTAAGCGGAATAAACCCTAATTTAGTTACGTCACAGTATGGCTAGTTAATCTTTTAATATTGCTTTTATTTTATTAAGTGCTTACTGTAGCGTATAAATTAAGGTGTATTATTATAGCATATACATTTTATGCATTACTCATTTCAGATGCTCCACATTATGGTAAAGAAGTGTATGTAGAACGTGTAGTATTATATTAATAATAAAAACTGACGAGATATGCAGTCATCTGGAAAATATCGACACTTCTACTAGGAACGTGCTCCGTTATGTAATTAGCTAGTATGTTTTATCGTGAAACTTACTCAACCAACACATTCACCCCCACCAGTGAATTTTACTACGTAGATAAGTTAATAGTAACTGATTATCATAATAGTACCAACTTCTGAAATAATTGGCAATAATACACATTCATAACATAATATGATGATGTAAATGTTGTATGTTTCAAATAGTTCATTCACTTAAATAAAAGTTTCAGATTTTAAATAAATCCTTATTATATTATCCATTTAATTGATTTGCAGCAAATACCAGTTAATATAAAATAGGTATTTAGGTGTAATAAATACTATTATGTAAATTAAGCTAAGTATTTAGTATTAATTATATAATTTTATTTACATAAAACTTTATTATAGTCTGTTCTCTACTTTATTGCATTCTGTAATACAAAACAATATAAAGGACGGACTTAATATGCTTTTAAGCTTTCTCTACCAGTCAAACCGTGGAGGGGCGTAGGTGTAAAAATATAGAAAATATATATATATATATATATATATATATATATAAAAAAAATTTATTTAAAATATGTAATTAGTACTTACAAATAAATAAAAATATTTACGCCCGTTTAAAAATACATAAAATGATGGACTTGGGAGACCATTGTCTTTAATAGGTATTCACGAACTAACTTTTTTAAATGATACTTATGGGATGCTCTCGGGAACTGAATCATTTGAAATGATTAATGCATAAATTCGTAGAATATATTCGCTGCAGTGCAAGAATATTTAAGATATGATATTAATCACCCGCCACCATACACAATACGGAGAAAACTTACCGTCACAGGTAGCGGCCATGAATTTGCCGTTCGCAGAGAAGTCCATATGAAGGATGTTGCCAGGGTGACCCTTGAGATTCTTGAACAGCCAAGGGTGGTTGAACTCCGTCTTTCCTTTCCATGGTGTGCGTTTTTTACTTTTCGCACTGGGACGGCTTTCGGTTACCACAGATTCAGAAGCAGTTTTGTCAACTTGAGCTCCTGTAAAATAAGAATGAAATGCATTGAAACTACTTGTTAAATTTAAAAATACCGTAAAATAACGATTCTTTTTTTCTTATCGATTTCTTTTTTCGTAACCGTCCCCTAAAGCCTTCTCTCTATTGACGGTAGAATTTGTCCTATAGAGCAAGATTTTTTTTTAAACAAACGTTACCCCCACACTAGGATTTTTTCCTGTATCGTGGAGGCAGTTTACAAACATAGATTACACGAGGACAAACACCCAGACTCGGAACAATTATTTGTAGGCTATACAAATACTTGTTCCGTGCGGGATTCGAACCCGCGGCCCCCAGCGCAACAACTCGATGCTAAGCCACTGCGCAACAGAGGCGTCAGGTTCCAAGCCAATTAATGTATTGACGTAATTAATTAAAGTAAAAAACGTAATTAATGTATTGACTAATTTAATCGAGAATGAGCTCAGCAGACTAAGTTCCTAAGGGTTCATATGGATATTGTTATTCTTTGTTAAAATAAAGCTGGTTTTTTTTGATATATTTAACAGGGTAGTATAAAGAATTCACTTTCGCTATTTCCAAATTCGCTAGTCTTCAAAACTAATAAGTATTAATAACTAGCTGTTCCCGCGACTTCGTTCGCGTGGAATTTATTATAATTGAATTTTATGGGTTTTTTATTTTTTTGCGCAGAACCCTATTCCTTTCACAAAAACAAAATTGGACTTAGTTACTCCTTATAACATCAACTATATGCCAGTGAAAATCCCGTCAAAATAGATCCAGCCATTTCAGAGATTAGCTGGACAGACAGATAAAAATTTAAAAATTGTTATTTTGTTGTAAGTACTGTTGTATAAATTAGGTAATCTTCTTTATTAAGACTGAATATTTTTTCCTTAACCAGGCTGTTTCAAAGGGTCAAACATGGTTTGTCTACATCCAATGTATGCATGTAAAACGACGGTACGGGAAATGTGTAACATTTTTTTCGTATAAAAACTATAATACATCTAACTCAAGTCATTGTTTACATTATTGTTCTATTGAATAAATTATGAATACAAATTTATTTAATAGAACAATAATGTAAACATTTAATAGCAATAGTATAGCAAACTACAGGAGCAAAAACCAAAAGCTACTTGGATAAGGTCTGCTAAGCATTGTATTGTCACTACACAAAAGAGCACAACTGTAAAACAATAAATGAGCGTACTATAATGAGTCTATAATGTGTTAAAGTAGTAGGTATTTGTAATTGGTGGTTCAAATTAATAAAAGTGGGACACTCAAAGCTTATTAAATATAAAATGTAAGAAATTACACAAAATATAAAATTTTACTGATTACTTATAATGATTTCGTTACTTTAATATACTAGACTATATTGTCTTAAGACTGTTTACAGATTTTGTTCATATTTATTTTTGGACTTGAATTAAAATTTCTTGTTAAAGTAATATTAAATTACTTAAATGATAAACGTCGGAAACAAAAATATACAAATAAAATGCAATGAAGTCTGTAAAACGTAGTTTCATTAATATAATAAAAATGTGCTTTATAAATAAATCATCAATAACAATAAAAGGCAAATAATATTGTACAATAAATTTATACTTTCAATTATAGTAATGTGAAAGATTAAATATTTTAAGTACCTACTTACTAGAGAACAAACAATAATTTATACTTAAGTGAATGAGTCTAAGATATTGAAACATATTAATAGTATACCTGATTTCCAATTTATATCATATATAAACAATATTAAAAATAACTGAAATTATTATAATATTTAATAACCTTCTTTGTGTAGAAGGGAAAATGTCTAAAAATGTTACAAATATTTATCGGATTCATTCATTAGAATTTTTATTACAATATTTTATTATACATGAAAAAATTACAAAAAAAAAACAATCTAATTGTTTGTGAAAAGTACCTTTTCCTTTTTTGAATTTATAGTGGACAGAATGCGCAAATAGGGAAAATTTTGTTATGTTTATGTGAATGTGTTTGAGGCACTATTAAAATATTTCAAGGCATAAAAGTTATGAAAAATTTAAGTTTGACCTCGCATATCTGGAGGGTTATGAAGCAATTAGTCCGCCGCTGACTTTACTGCAGAGCTGAATTCCACTTGAAATTACAATTACTAATTTCATAGACTCTGGTAGGGATCTAATAACCCAGGTTGCTTGTGCACTGTGAAATTTACTGCAAGCACTTAGTGTTTGGGGCTGTATTAAATTAAACTTGCTTATGGTATTAGCACCATAATGTACAGAGACTCAGGTTAATTTGGTACATTTTCTCTTACAGTTACAATTCATGTCTTGCTGATGGGTCAGAAATATAAAGAGGGCAGTTTGACGGTGCAACTGATATTTATAGTGGCCTTACAAGGAAATGCAAACTGTTTGCATTATGATGTTATGTTGGAATTGCCAACACTTAGCCCCTGAGCCACACAGGACAAATTTTCAGATTAACTTAAAATTGCTATCTACCCCTCTTTACCTTAATAGTTTACAATATCTTAAATCAACTTTTATAATAATTTGTACAGACAGGAAAATATACCAATAAATTAAACAGAGTTGGGAGAAAACATTACAGAAGATTATAAGTTGGAAGAATATATAGGTTCAATCACAATGACAGCTAAAAGTATAATCTATCTTGTTAGAAAAGCTATTGGGTTGGCAACCAGTTTTTCATTTTTTTAGTTGCTTTGTTTCCCTCTCTCAGCTCTTTCAACACCTACAGGACGATATGGGGTAACGGAAATTCGTACACCGCCACTACCAGAAACATGTTTACTATAATTTTTATGAAATCAATTTCAGTTTTTTATATTTGCTAATCACAATCTGTCAGCCAAGCAATCCCTGCCATTGGAGAGACCCAGGTCTAGCATGACTTACAATCTACAGCCGGTAATACATGTTAACCAAGTCTACACGAGTGTAGACAAAGTGATTCTAGGTGAGTGCTAAACTATGTGTTGGCCAAGTTTGAATGAGTGAACATACTGACATGACCGACTGACATGTGGACGTGACTTGCCGAGTGCAGGCGAGCCCTTAGAGTTGTGCAGAAAAACCGACACTGTTCCGAAGTGAGACGAGTCGTGGCGAGCGATCCCAAGTGGTAGCAAGGCATGCGAAACGAACCATATACATGTTGGCGCTCGCTTGTACTCGGCCAGCTAGGCAGGCGACAACAAGCAACAGCGAGGCTAGACAAATGGGCTGTCTATATGTTGGGACTCATGTTCAATTGGCCAACATGTATCGTTGGCTAAATGAAGAAAACATAAATATCTCAATAAAATTATCATTATTATATAGTCATTACAATTAATGATAATGCTTTGAGCCAGCTGCACTCTAGACGAACAGTAAATCCTTTTCATCACAAATCCACTAAACCATTTATGTATAGAAAGTCAACTAAAACGACAGTTATATTTTATGATATGGCATGTGACAAACAACAGATTCTGTTTCTATTTGTCAGCCATCTTATGATCACTGCGAGACATAAGGCTTTACAAGAATGCAACATACCCCCAGACAGACAGTAATCAAAAATGTGTTGATTACTACTACTCAACTACTCTAGGACTAATTGCAATTCAACAGTATAGTAAGACAAATAAGGCAATAATAGCAAGTTTATTTGACTTCTATGGAGTGTAAATATGTGCTAATGTATTTAATATGACATATAGAAATTAAAGAGTAATCAAAAAGTAAGTTAATGCTAATGTTAATAAAAAATATTAGTCTTTTGCTTATGCTCTGGAAATTTATGTTTTTATTAACAGACTTCAAAAAACCGGCTAAGTGCAAGTCGGATTTGCACATTAAGGGTTAAAAAAAACATTTCCAGTAGGGGAGCCCCCTTTAATTTTTAATTTATTTTTATTATTTGTTGTTATAGCAGCAACAGAAATACACATTCTGTGAAAATTTCAACTGTCTAACTATTACAGATGAGATACAGCCCGCTGACAGACAGGCGGATAGACAGCAGAGGTTTAGTAATAGGGTCCTGTTGGTTACCATTCAGGTAAGGAACCCTAAAAAAGGGAGGTACTCAGTTTGACTGTATTTTTTTTGTGAGGTACCTTAGAACTTTTTTCCAGGAATACCGATTTTGATGATTCTTTTTTTATTTGAAAGCTGGGGCTTTTCATGATCAAGATCTGAACAGTAGTTTTGAGTTATCCTTAATAATGAGTACTTAATTGACTTCGACTACATTGATGATGTTCTCATTTTATTTATAATGAAGTTGATGTACATTTTTTTTTTATTTTACCACATGTTCTTTTGCTGTATTAAACTTGTATTATTATCTTACTGACATGCACTAAAATACAATTTTATGAAGAGTAAATTATTCCAATCACATTACTCATATCACAACTAGTTAAATGAGGAAAATAAAAATAAAAATTATCGGGATTGCACAGTCAAACAAACTTGCTAAGAATACAAAATACAAGTTATTTGTATAACTGAAACTGCAGCTTTTAGTTTGACCTATTTATCCTTTTTCAATGAGAACCTGTTAAATTTGTACAGGTGCTTAATTAATGAACCGAAGTAGAAATTCAAATATAGACATTTCATAGAACAATTACTGAAATAATATTAAAACTTAAAAAACACATTGATAATGAACCGAGCATTGAACATGATGATTCTAGAGAGACTTATCCTGGTGATCCTGATCAGAATACTAGGAAAAAGTTATTAAATTATTATATTGCCATCGCTTCAAATTTTCAAGTCAATCGGCCGTCAAACAAATCGGTGAAAATTACATTAAAAGAATCAGAATCGTGAAGCTAATAAAACAGTTTTCATTACTGAGCCGGTCATTAAACACACACCTCTAACAGATACTCTAGTTGATTTCCTGACTTTTATTATCAATTTTTAAAAACATGAACATTAAATGGTTAATTATTTTATGCATAATTAATACATTAATGTTTTCCACGCGGTTTTTCAAATGTGATAAGTGAATTATTGTTTTTAAGTTAATGACAAGTGATAAGATTTTTCAGGTGTATGTTATATTTAATAAATATAACTTTAATTAGATAAAATATTTAAAAATCTTGAAGCGAAACTTACCAGAATCGCTCTCTGTTGTAAACGATGCTTCTGTTTTCTTGTCACTGAAGATGGTTTTATAAATAAAGTGTGTTATTACACAGAGTAAAATTGTAATTCCACCAACAAGGAATATATTCATGTTTTGACCGGCTTGAAAATCTCCCATTTTCACTAAAAAAAACATAAATTGAAATGCCGATTGCCGATCCAAAACTTGTATATGCGATAGTCACGCGGCTTCGAAAATTAACTAAGCATAAGCAAAGTAAAGTACGGAAGCGGCTACACTCTGACCACAGATTAGTAAATATGTTGCTATTTGCTAAGTGCTAACTCTGACAAGAGCAGAGATAGAAGTCATAGAAAATAGAACGCTGTCAGGATAGTTATATACTCTTTGGAATTTATATCCTCTTTGGATAATTAGAGTTTTGGCGGGAACTTAACCGGTGGCTGTTTGCTGCTCCTGTATTATTGTCTAAATAATGGTTTGAAGTGGATTTTCATATGTAAAAGTGGTGCGATTTTGTGTATTAAATGTATGCGCATGTGAATTATTAGTGGGAACGGTGAAACAAGTGCGTGATGTGCAGTGGAGTAGCGTGCCTTAGAAGGGCCCTGTATCAAAATTTGGTGGGGGGCCCAAATGAAGGTTAAAGATTTTTCACAAAAGGAACAAAAACTCTCGCACAGATTTAAAATAATTATATATTGATAATAAGTTATTACTTACAATTAATACTCCGAGGAACTAAGCCAGCCAAACAATTTAAACCAACATACTGTCCCATAGCAATCCTTAGAATTTTTTCTTACATACATTCGGGGCCTTTGTAGCCCGGGGGCCCCGTATCATTGATACGGCTGATACGGCGGTAGCTACGCCCTTGGTCATGTGATACTCAAGATAAGGTGTCTGTCTGCTTAGGTTAGTAGTTAGTAGTTGCCGTCAAAACCTCCCTTGGTCTGCACAATGTGACGCATCAACATATTGTGAAGCAGTGTACTTTGAAGGATAATTATACATTGTAACTTCAGGCTGTGAAGGACTAGAACCCGTAAAGCCAGTTGTAAAAAAAATTGGGTACTTATATACTCATTGGAAATTAGAGATACATCCACAGACTAATATGATACTTACGGATACATAGTTGGATAACTAATTGGAACATTAGAACGACTTATTATAACTTGACTTTATAAATGCATTTTAGATTTTCTATTAGGCTTTATATCAGTAGTCGATTTTTATTACCTTCCTTACCTAAGCTAAGTGGCTATGTTATAAGTACCATTCTAATTATTATTTTTGAAATAAACGAATTTCATCTAACGTACCTTATTACACAGTAACAAGGAACGCGTAGTTCTTTTGTTTGGTTAAATCAGTTTCCGGTGTGACGGAGAAAATAGTACAATGGTGGCGCGAAGGAACAACGTTATTTTGGAACGTAGTTAGACATTGTAACTTTTAGGATGATCACGGTGACTTTTTCACCGTGATTTTATTTATCACTCATGTGTAGTGCTCTAGAGACGACATGGAAAATAAACCAGAAGATAGGCAGTAACGTCTTCAAAATAAAAAAATGCGTTTAGAAACCCGCATCTCTATAACAAAGTTAAAGAAAAACATGTGGGAGGAAAAAAATACGATTGTTTTTTATTTAATCTCTTTGGAACGCAGATGCTCCGTGCTATGTTTAGTGCAGCGTTGCCGAGATGGGTGATAAAATGCGGCAATAAAATTTTGCACTACCCTTTATTTCCATGGCACATGGCTAGCAGTAGAAGGAAACTATAAAGAGAGGGAGGGAGTACTTTTATTATTTAATAAAATATTATTCTGTATAAAAAAGTAATCAAACATCAACATCAAACAAATTTAATAAACAAGGTATATACAAATTCAATGGCTAAAACAGTAATAAATAACAAAATGAAATAAGTTTACTGAAAAGAAAAAAAAATTCAAATATTACATGTCACTTCTAACGACAATCCATACGTTAAAAATTAAAATCTAATATCTATGTGTTAAAATCAAATAACTACTATGTAAAAGAAACAAGGACATTGAAACACTCGAAATTTCATAAAGAAAAGAAATATATAATATAATTATATTGATATACTCATTAGGAGCCTCTAATAAATAAATAAAAAATTAATCATAGATAATATACTTTAGTACGCTATCTTAGACATTCATTTTTGTTGAAAACAACTTGGCCATAATGTTCACAATATATCGAAATTATAATATAAAATGTAATTTTACCACATTTGCATTTGTGGAATATGAAAATTTGTGTTTTTTACATGATTTAACTCTCTCTTCATTAGCACGGAGTCTGCAGCGATTTGGACGAGGTCGATGAGTTGGTCTGCGTCGGCATTACATATAGAGGCACTTGTCGAGAGGTTGGTTGTCGCTGACCTTCAAGACTGCCAAAGCGTCGAGAACAGATGTCCTCTCTGGCGTATACGCAAACTCCAGCCTGAGGCACAAAGGTGTTCTAATTTGTATCCGGATATCAGAAATGTATCGACCGGAGAGGACCTGCGTCTCGGTTGGAAAGAGCAAGGTTGGCTTCACCGGGCTCAGATAGTACCTAGTGGACTTCGTTAACGTTTGAATGAAATCCCCTGATGTTGCAGAAATTCGCGGATAGCGTGGCAGGTTTACCTTTGTTTTATTGCTCTACTTGTCACGAGCAGTATTAATCTCAAGCGGAATTTCGCCCCCCTCCCTCTCCCCGGATACACGAGGTAGCCGGAGCACCCGCGCTAAGGAAGAGTATGGTAGTTTGTACGTGGATGCTTAACCAGGGATTCTCCAATACTGGGAGTGCTGGTATCCTCCTGGGACGATTTCTTAATTAATTACACTATCATGTCAAGAGGGAGAGGGTTAGGCCTCCGACTACATGCACTTACCAGGCGAAGTAAATTTCTACTTCACGCTGGTTATCTGTAAGGTCATGGTACCTCCTCGGTCCGAGCGGGTCCACCCATTCATTCATTAATTTATTCATTTCATTTCAGACACCCGGTCATGCATTCATTACATCTCTTCATTTCATATATTACCAGGTCGTCACTCCATCTAGTCTGGCCCACCCGTGCGACAGCAAAAGCTACCGTGTGACTCTTCCACTGTTATGTTGTCTGCCTATAACTGTAACTGTAGTCTATTTCGTCATTGATTATGCGTTACGCATAATACTTAGTAGAAGGTAGCTTTGCTTTATTATGCCCTGCAGTGGGCGACAAGGAGTTGATGATGAAATAGTTTTGCACCTTTAAAGTATTTAGTTTAGTTTTAATAGGGCCCCAATTTTATTTTTGCACCGGGGACCTTGGTTACATAGCTATGCCACTGATATCTACGTTTTTATTCGTAACTACAGAACAGATTTTGTTCGCGGTTTCAAATGAGAAAATGCCTACGCATATCTGCATTGCGGGGGCAAGTACGGATTATGTCGGACTTGCACCTACTAAAACCCCATGATGTTCCACCTTCACCACATATTGACAGGGCCACGGAAATGCTTTCAAGCACATCCGCGGGCCAACCAGCGAGGCCCCACCTTAGTTGAGGACTTCCCTCCCCGAATTCCTGAGCCCGATATATGGAGGCCATGGAGCCAAGAAAAAACGAGCACTTGGAAGCACCAAGTGATACAGTCCCGCCAAAGTCGTGGAGGATGGTCGAGTGGCGCATTACCATACGAACAATCCTCTTCCCTAGTGACTCCACCTTGGGTACAGCAATATAGAGAGAGGAGTCTCCTCTAGCCGCAGCTCACTAACACACATCCAAGGGCTCGACAAGCCCACTCAGAGTGGCCACTTCGGGCCAGCCATGTGAGTCGCCCTACGTTTACCATGGGTTACCAAGCCACGGCCACTAACCCTCCCCCTCTCCCCGCCACGACAAGGGGGGGCCCGTTCAGGGAGGAGTTATTTCTGACCTAAACTCACGCAAACTCTCTAAGGACATTAATAATTTTGCATTTCCAATATAAATTTACTCCCTTGATATAATAAATTGGTTATAATAATTATACAGATTTAACAAACTTACGTCTTGTTAACACAAAGTCATCATCAGGCGACCTTTCTACACTTAGCTATGGCCCTTGAGTCTGGGGGAAAATAAGGAGACGCGAAATAAAAAAAAAACATTCTGTTTAATAATCTAATACTTTTATACTTACTGGTACTGGTACTACCAGAAAATATTAAGTGTATACTGCGCTTTTTCAAATTAGTGCGTTTTTCATGTCCAATAAAACAGTTTCGGACGCCAATTCACAATTTTTGTGCGTTTTAGTCATAATTTTAGTCTAGCTTTAGTTGGAAACCTGGTAATTAATAAACAATTGATAATTATTTGTAGTCGGCGACTTTGGCTGTGATCAGATATGGGTAGAAAAGAACACCGATAAGTATTGTAGACAAGAAACTCGACAACCCTATTAAATTACATGTTTGCCAACATAAATGATGAAAAACCCCAAAAGGATTTTTGGCGCAAATGCCCCTGAACTTTTTTACGAGGGTTTGAAGTTTTAGATTTTTAAGGCAGATTTCATGATAAATCGACTAGCCCTCACTTTTATAACACAGGAATATTGACCCAAAGTTACTTACTACTACTACTTAAAAAAAAAAACTCGAAAATAATACAATTTACATCAAATATTACATGACCGTAATGAACCTTTACATAAACTACCACTGCCCTAAATTATCCTTACGTAAATCAAGATTATAACGAATGAAACTGTATGAGCCTACATTATTGTATGAATACTTTTAATGAGGCCTACAATAACTACCAACTAAAATATACGTTAAAGTAGTAAGTAAGTAAGTAAGAAACAGTGAAGCAATAGTACTAATGCATATAAGTAGTTTTCTTCATAAAATGTTTATTTTTAACCGTTTACAATAACATTACAAAGTTATAATGCAGCTATTTTTTGGTAATTTTGTATAGAGAAGCTACAAACTCTTCTATTTTGAGGTCTTGGCGAAAAAACATTAGTTCATCAAAACTTTTAGTTGTGAAAGAGATGTTAAAACACTTTCTGTTCGCCTGAGTATGCAATAAGATGTTCCACTTACGTATTAGCCATTTTATTTGAAATTCGCTAAGCAAGGAATTTACAATCTTTACGTTTTATTTAGGTTTTAATTATTTATACTATAGTGTTCTGTGTGTTTAGGTTTTATGCACAAAAC